ATGGGAAAGAAGGAAGTGTCCTTGCTCTGAACCAGCTGCAGAGATAAGGAGGAATATGAGTGGAAGGCTACCTTGAACTCATGCTCTGACTTCAAAGTGTTAAATCGAAGGAGGTGCCCTTAGAAGTGGATGGGAAAAAGGACGAGAGCATAAAGCACTTGCTACAGAAACGGTGGAAAGCTGCTCCAGGATGCTATAAAAGGCCCCAACTGCAGCAATCAATTGGGATTCCAGTTTGGACTGACCGGGTAAAGTGCCAAGCATATTTTGGCCTGAGAAAGAGGGGTGCCATCACCGGTTTCTGGAATGTCTCCGTCAAAAATGACGGATAGCTGAGCCAGCTTCATAACTTTCTCTTTGAGTATTCTTTCATATACAGTTGTACCTTGGAAGTCGAACGGAATCCGTTCAGGAAGTCCGTTCGACTTCCAAAACGTTCAGAAACCAATCGGAAGCCGCACCGGACGTTTGAAAATCATTCCGGTTTTTGATTGTTCAGGAGCTGAAATGTACAAGTTCCAAAGCGTTTGGCAACCAAGGTACGACTGTACTTTAATTGTATATTAGCACCTGTTGCTGTTTCTTTGCTTATTGTGATAGTTGTTAATAAAGCTTGCATCTACTGCCTAAAAGTTTGAGATCCAAAGAACTCGCTGCTGCCTCAGGATTACCAGGGCTGGGTGATTGTTGGGGAGGCATAACCATTGGGCATTACAGTTGCCAAATGAGCCAACAAGCTGTGGATGGAATACAAGTCTAATTGCATCTTTTAGGATCCTAATGAGAGGCAGATTGGGTCATCAGTACCTTAAGGAGAAGTGATTTATTATTATTATTCTGAACTATTCTCTGATACAGCTGAAACTGCAATGCTTTACCACTCATTTACCCAGGAAAAAATACATGGGACTTCAGACTAAATTGTTGTTGTTTAGTCGTTTAGTCGACTCTTCGTGACCTCATAGACCAGAGCATGCCAGGCACTCCTGTCTTCCACTGCTGGTACCCCAGGGGCCATGGAGTCCAACCCCCTGCAATGCAGGAATCTCAGCTAAAGCATCCATGACAGATGTCCATCCAACCTCTGCTTAACAATCTCCAAGGAAGGAGAGTCCACAACCTCCCAAGGGAGACTCTTCCACTGTGAACTTGGGGGTGGGTGCTAAAATCACACAAACCTGAGCTACATACACTTCCCAAGTAAAGTGGGGAAGACATCTCAAAAACCTCCATCTCAAAAATACGAATCATCACAGAATGTTTACAGTTCCAGCTTGTCAATACCGTACTCCAGGTGTGGTCTACAGGTGTGCCCAGCCCAGGCGGCGCTTACTTTTACGGGCAGCATGCCTGAGCCCAAAGTGATGCCAAAGCCCAGATGCGCTGCACCCCCCTAGCTACGTTCCTGGGCTGGGTCTCCAGAGGCTGTCGCTGGTGCTCCCTTTGACCTGATGGAGTCAAGCTGCTGGGGGCGGGGGGGGGGGGGCTTGGGGTGTTTTCCATAAGGGAATAAAGTTTGCAAGGAAAGTGGCCGAGGCACCTGAAGTTCCCCTCCTGCTGTGGCTCCGAGCTCCCTGGGAGGGACTGCAGCAGGGAAACTTCTTTCCAGGAGGAGAAGTGCTCCTCTCCGACCCAACGCGTGGCAGTGCCAAAGTGAGCCTTGTGTATCCTGGGATCACAGGAGCGATGGCAGTGGGAGGGCGGGGTGAGAGGAGCTGGATCAAAAGGGAGAGAGAAGCCGAACGAGGCTTGTTGCGCTAGGAAGGCGAACTAAACGGATCAATGGGTTCCTCCTGCAAAGCGGGCACTTGCTCCGTGGGGTGGTAACGCTCGGCTTGTGCTGAGGCACACCTTGCACCCGGCATGCAACAGTGTGCCAAGGAGCCTTGCGCTCACACTCCCTGAACTCTTGCCTCTTGGCTAGAAAACAGGGTTCCCGCCTGACAGTTTGTCCTCTCACAGATTTGGTTACTAGACATAACGCTTGGCTGGAGCATGACCGTGGACACAGATGTAATCAAGTATCGGGGAAAACATTTTAGGGAAACACCTGCTAACACGTGTATTTGATAACGCTGGAAATGTGCTTAGATGGAAATACGTCATGTTCAAAGTGGTTTCACTACTGTTTCCAACTGTTGACTTCTGCTAATAAAAGGAGCCTCTGCAGAACTAGCCGGCAGCTGTTTTGGAGCTTGCTTGCCAGCTTGCTCCTGCCCAGCTCACCTGCATTCAACCTCCCGTCGTCCTCGGTATTCCTACACTCCAAAAGTGCTGGTGGTGGTGGGGTGATCGTTGTCTTCCAACTCCTGGCTCCTCCTTTGTCAAAGAGCAGAAGGAACACCACGTTAAAAAAAAGAGTCCCAGGAGGGTGCCTTATTGAGGCACCGGTGGGTGTGGAGTGTGGGGGTGGGTGGGTAAAAAAGCAGTGCTCCTAAGGGGTGCAAAATTTCCCTCCTTTGCCCCCATGCTTTGGCTGTGGTCTCCTGGGTTTTTTTGCCCAGGACTCCTTTACACCTACCTTGCCTGTCAAGTGTCACGTCGTTTGCACCTGTGTCTCTTCCGTTTGCACCCCTTACCCATGTACCCGTATGTAACCCAGCCAAGTGGCAGTCACTTGTAGGCAGGCTTCTTCCTTTCTCTTTGGTTGGAGGAACCCAGTTGCAACTATCTCGCTTTGTGTCTTTGGCTTCCGATTTGAAGGAATGGGTTTTCCAGATCTAAAATCTGACTGTGCAGTCAGTCTGAAACGGGCCGCAAAATCCCCATTTTTCCTTCTCCAAGGGTAAAAACCATTAACTTGAGCCCTTGAGCAAATGTATAACAGGAACCCAGCTGTACAAACAAAGGTCTCTTTGTCGCCTAATGAATGGCCTTGTCAGTTCCAAAGTGGAGCAGGGATGGCACATCTGGGTCTTATCTTACATCCTGACCACACTGATGCACAGACTTTGTCAGGTCTGACAAAAGACCAGGAACAGCGCCAGGAGTGTTCTTAGAGTTGGTGACCTTCTTGCCCCAAGATAAGAGTATAGGAACAGGAACAGGAACATCTGTTTATGGTCATGGATGTCAACTTACGTGTATAAGCTGACGTGGCTGGATTCCTGGGGAAGGGGAGAGAGGGTGCCTGGAGGATATATATACTGTATGCAATTTCTCTTGCTTTTGTGCTTGCGGTGAACCGATTCACGCAGTACCTTCTGCTATCTGGAGAGCAGAATAAACTCTTTCTCTGAATCAACCTCGGTGTCATTTGACTTCCTTTCTCCCTCCCAGGAGCAACGCAGACCCCACCAGTCGGTAAAGTCTAATAACGCTACAGATTCCCGGAGCCCAGCAAAATGGTTCTTTTCCTTTCCTAAAAATGACCTGCCTTGTCCCCGCTAACAAGTGGAATGGGCAGAGGTACCAGAGGTTACAGATAAAAATGAAGTGGGGTTCCCTCCAGCCTTTAGTCCCTCTCTTCAGCGAGGTATTTAGAGAACCAGCAGTTTATCAATGTGTGGTCTTTCCTTTTCACACCCACACACCCGCTGCTCCCTTCAACATGAATCTTCTGGTTATACATCCCCCATCCTTGAAACGTACCTAGATCTGTACTAAGCAAGAAAGAACAGTGATCTTCATCACGCCTTTCAGTTCTGAATGGTTTCAGCACTCCAAGTTATTCACATCCACACTATGTAAACAATAAGCAAACTGACAAAAATAATATTTCATTATCTTATTTCTAATATGCAGGTTGCAAATCATTCCACCCGCTCTTTCTGCACACCAGCAGCAGAAAGGAAACCTACGGGACCACCTCTCCTGGTATGCCCCGCGGAGGACCTTAAGGTCCATAAATAGCAACACTCTAGAGGTCCCGGGCCCTAAGGAAGTCAGATTAGCCTCAGCCAGGGCCAGGGCCTTTTCCACACTGGCTCTGGCCTGGTGGAACGCTCTATCTCATGAGACCAGGGCCCTGTGGGATCTGATTTCTTTCCGCAGGGCTTGTAAGACAGAGTTGTTCTGCCTGGCCTTTGGCTTGGAATCAGCCTGATCCCGCCCCCTCTTTCCTTTTCCTTCTGTGATGGAACTCCTATTTGGGGACTTCCCTGACTTCTTTCTGGCCCGTGTAGGACCAGTCTGGATAGTTGGCCTTGGTGAAGATTTGATGTTTTCTCCCCCAAAACAGTTTTTGATCTGGGCTTCCACTGAAATGAGGCTGCATTTTAAGTTGTACGTGAATCCTATTTTTAAGTTGTATTTTAATCAATTGTTTTTATACCTGATGTTAGCTGCCTTGAGCCCGGTCTTGGCCGGGGAGGGTGGAGAGTATATATCTATCTCTATCTCTATCTCTATCTCTATCTCTATCTCTATCTCTATCTCTATCTCTATCTCTATCATCTCTATATCTATCTATCTATCTATCTATCTATCTATCTATCTATCTAATCTTTAAAAGTCATTTGTGAAGTCTTTCTCTATATATGTACTAGAATTCAAGCACCAAAGCAAGCTGGCCAGGTCCAGCCTCACCCTTCCTACTCTAGGTGAAATGTAATTTTGCAAGCACTCTGCCCATCTTTCTATCAGCAGGAGGGATGTGCTTCCGTAAGAAAGATACGCTCAACCCCAGGCTTTCTTCCTGCTCTAGAAAAAAGATTTATTTGCTCTATCCATACATGAACAGAACACAGGGGGAAGGGGCTGAATCTGTGGCACGGAGCTCTGCAGTGGGAGGGATTTGGTATGTTTCCCTCACCAACAGATTTCACAATTAGTTTAAAGAAGGCAGTTAAGTTTCGCCAATCCTTGCCAGAAGGGAGGAGCTCCCTTTGCAGCCAGCGGAGTATGAAAAACAGCAGCAGGCAGATAAGGAGCAACTGCAAACGGGAGAAGGAAGCACTGCTTTTCCTGCTGCACAACTGAAGCTGAGAGCCTTTCCTCTAACCAGCCGCAGGTCTGTCTCTTCCCTTTTAAAAAAATAAATAAATAAAAATTGTCCAGTAGCACCTTATAGACCAACTAAGTTTGTTTTGGTATAAGCTTTTGTGTGTATATGTATCTGAAGAAGTGTGCAGACACATGGAAGCTTATACCAGAACAAACCTAGTTGGTCTGTAAGGAGCTACTGAACAATTTTTTATTTTGACTGTGTGAGACCCACACGGCTACCTACCTGAATCTTCCCTTTTCAATTATGCATGATAGTAACTTCCTGTCTCCACTAACATGTGCTTATAACAACTTTATTCCTGGGCACCCTTTAAAGGCCGAGAAACCTTTCCAGAAAAAGTTCAGAACTTTAAAAGGTACATGCAAGTACATGCACGTTATCTTCTTATCAGCTTGCTAGACCTCTTTTTCTTTAACCTGCCTCTGCTCCAAGCAGCTCATTGCACCATCCAAAAATTCTCCTTTCCCTCAACAACACTGCAAGGGAGGCGAAATTCAGCAGTGGCAACATCAAAGGTCTCCCGCTGAGCTCTGTGGTGGAGTAGGGATTCGACTTTTGCCCCTCCAAGTCCTGCCAGGCGTGTGTATGCTTCCTAATGCTTGAATTCTTTTTCCCTGCAGGTTTCAGCCATGTGGCTCTACCTGGCTGCCCTGCTGGGGCTTTACTTCCTTCGCCGATGGTACCAGGAGAGACAGACGGTGGAGAACCTGACGGAGAAATATGTCTTCATCACGGGGTGTGACTCTGGCTTTGGAAACCTACTTGCCAGGCAGCTGGATGCCCGGGGCCTGCGGGTGCTGGCAGCCTGCCTCACGCAGAAGGGGGCAGAGCAGCTGGGCAAGGGCACCTCAGGGCGCTTGAAAACCACCATTCTGGATGTGAGCAGCACAGAGAGTGTGGCGGCCGCGACGGAGTGGGTGAAAGGGTGCATTGGAAGCAAAGGTGAATCTCTACCTTCCTTGTGGTGCCTCTGTGCTATTGGTGGGACGGGGGACGCCCCCTGCTTCATCTCCAGGGCTGGCACCACGCCCCTCCCCAGTTGGGCACCCAATAGGGAAGCTCGGCGGGGGCGTGGCTTGAGGCTCAAATGCAGCCGCGCCAGCCATCCCCACAATTGCACACACATTTTCTTCGAGTCACCCACCCTCCACTCCCTTGAGACTAGCTGTTCCTGAGACTTTGCTATGGACCTCTGGTTGGTCGCCCTGTTGAACCAGGGGGCCTGGTAGGAGTTTTTTTCCAATTGGCTAAATTGGCCCGGCCTCTTGGTTTTTTTCGCCTACCTCGTAGCAACCGTCACAACTTTCGTGGTATTTGGCGGTTAGGCATTGGAATGTGTTGTTGGTGTTTCGGTGGGCAAGGTGTGGCCATCGCCTTCCCTGACAATTTTGGGTATTCCGCTAAAGGAATCCAGTGGTTGTGGATCCTGTCCGATGCCCTTGGGGCGGGGGGGCCATGGCACGACCCTCGGTGACATCAGGAAGAGAGCCTTTAGTTGGATTAGCATCAACAGGCTTCCCCTACTGGTGGTTAACCCCTCCTCAGACTCACCCCTCTACGAGTGGGTGGAGTCTAATGTTCCGTGGTCCAATGCCTAAGCCAATACCTTCTCACATGCTGTAATCAACAAAGTTGTGGCCTTTACCTTACCCATTAACCTTACATTCTGTGTCCACGTGTCTTTATTCCCCAAGCGGGGATCGGGTCCTTGAATCACAAACATACGTTCTTTCTCACAGGGCTTTGGGGCTTGGTGAACAACGCAGGCACAGCTCTACCATCAGGTCCCAACGAATGGCTGACCAAAGATGACTTTGCAAAGGTGATCAATGTCAACCTTCTTGGGATGATTGATGTGACACTACACATGGTGCCTCTGGTGAGGAGAGCCAGAGGGAGGGTGGTCAACATCTCCAGTGTGAATGGACGCCTGGTAATCTATGGAGGTGGTTACTGCCCATCCAAGTTTGGTGTGGAAGCCTTCTCTGACAGCCTGAGGTAAAAACAGCAGCTCTTTAATGTCTTCTTTTGCTTACTTTAGTGCAACATCTGCCATACTCCCTAACCACTTGCCAGGCTGGAAGTGGCTGATGCGAGTCCTCCTGGTTTAGTTGCCAAGTCTGGGGAAAGTGGGCTGCAGGGAAGAAAGAGCTGGGAAATATGGCAGCTGCTCAGGGCTTTGCCCAAGACTCGCACAACTTGAGATGAATGTATCCAGGAAGGATCTCAAAAGAGAAGATAGACAGGGACTGGAAGGTGTCTAAAGGATAGTTGCAAAACCATATTGAAAAATCAGAACTCCTATTAGAATAAACAAGTTCCGTTTTAAATACTGAAATACTAAGATGGATGACAATGTGTAATAGAAAAAGAAGCATGAAATTAGGTTAAAGGTGTGTGAAAGAAAGTAACAGAAGTGGATAGAAATTGCAATTGAGTAGATTGGAAGTCTAACACAAAGGTGGGGTGAGGGGTGGTGGATGGTGATGGGAAAAGGAATTATCTGTGGGATTGAGTGTAGGTATGTTTGAACATTTTTAAGGATTGTATGAAATGTATGTTTGTATGCTTGTATATTTGCAATATGTGTGTATTAATGCTGAATTATTTTAATAATAAATTTTTTTCGGAAAAAGAAAAAAGAAGGTATCCAGGCACAGGCCATGCCCACATCTGGCCTTGAACCAAACTTTTCAAATCACAAGCCCGCAATTGGATGTGTGGCTCTCAGTCCAGGACCTTCTCATTAATGGTGAACATGCTATGGATGTCCCCCTGTTTTCCTTAGAATAGTTCGTGTAGAGTGTGGTGGTAAAGGGTTAACCTTTCTGTGTCTCACGTCTGAGGGAAGGGCTTCCACGGGAAGTCAGCCAGGATGTTACGTCACAGCTCTTTGTTGTGCTGTGAGAAGTGCTTTCGTTTTTCAGCCGGTCGCTGCTCCGAGGAAGAAAGGAGTCAGAGAAAATGGAGCTGGATACTGATGGCCTGTAAATATGCTGTTTTTGCTTAATAAAATGCTTCTAGAATAGAGAAGCTGTCTGGACTTGATTTAATGTCTTTCTCACACAGACCAAAGCTGTGCATCTGCTAATTGCTTTCTCCCGGGGCTGCGCTTGAAAAGCTGGCGCAACGGAAGCGTAAGCTGGACAGAAAAGCAATAAATCTTCAGGTTATGGAACCACGCCAAGAGTGTGAGAAAGAACGTAACTTAAAAGCCTGCAGGTCAGCTTGATCTACTGCCAGAGGCTTCACAGGCAGATCTGAGTTTGCTGACGGAGGGGAACAACGGAGCCAAGGCTTTCCGGAATGCCCGGTTTAGCAGAAGAGTGAGTATTCAAGCTACTCTAGCCGACAGAAGGGAAGGGGAAAGAATGGCCCATCCCCAGGGACAGGTCTTTGGGTTTAATATGCCGTGTCAGAGACTGAGTGGCCAAAATTGGCTGGAATGGTCTTTTGCAATGGAGTACCTGCTAGTGGGGGAGCAGCTGTGGCACTTGGTGCAACCCCCACAGCCCGAAGTTGGGAATGCAATGGCTGAGGAAGCTGCAGTTCAAACTGAGCTGAAACAGCGTGTGCTCAGAATTCTGGCCGAAAGCGTCGAGGCTTGTCTTTTGCCAGTCCTACAGGGTGCCAATGAGCCAAGGGTCGCTTGGGAATCCCTCCTAAAAGCTTGTGGAGCTGGAGGCAAGGACCAGGAAGTGGCTGGAGTTGCACCAGAGGTGGCAGAGAGCCAAGATGGCGCTGGCCAGAGCCTTGAGAGCTCTTCGAAAGCTGAGAGGAGCCTTAAGCCCCCAAGGGGGAGTGAAGGGACTGTTGCTATTCCTGTTGCTGCTGCTGGTGCTGTTGCTGTGCCTGAGAGCTGTTTGGATGCTGCAACACATCTGTGTGAGGAGCCAGGAGAGAGGCTAAGCACCGGGAGCCCTGTGCCCAGCAGAGGGGGTGCAGGCAAAAGCCCTGCCAGCAGTGGGGCGGGGGCAGTCAGCAGTGAAAGCTCTGAGAAGCCTCTTTCTCCAAAAGTTTCCAAGTGTTATTTTCGTCCTGAGCCGGAGCCTAGCTGTGGGAAGCTTTGTGCTACTAGAGTTTCCAAGGTTGCCCATCTGGAAGAGTATCTGATAACAGAGTCGGTGCAGCGTGAGAACGTCGGGAGAAGTCCAGTCTCTATGGCAACAGAGAGAGCTGCATCTATGGAAGCTGTGAAGGCTGTGGGCAAGTCCCCCAGCCGGGGGGAGACTGTTGCCGTGACAACCGCAGAGGACATCTGCAGAGGCCCCAGTCAGGGGGGCAATGAGAGGGAAAGCGTTGCCATGACAATTCTTCAGGAATGTCAACAACCAGAAACCCTCACTGTCGTCATAGACTCAGGAGCGACAAACACTCTAGTGCCCTCTCCTGATCTTTTGCGAAATTGCAGGACAGTAAAAACTGACAGATTTGTGACGCTTGCTGATGAGAGTCAAAAAACGCTCACACAGGCCGGGACACTTTATTGTTCCTTTCTTAAACATGAAATCCAAGCTTTTGTGGTGCCATGTTTAGCTAATTGTTTGCTAAGCGTGTCTGATTTAATTGCTGACAATTTCTGTGTGTCTTTTGCAGTTAACCAGTGTGTGTTTTCCAGGAATGGTGAACAGCTGTACTCAGTACAGTCCAAAGGCAATTTTTTTCTTATAGAGATGCCGCTTTCTACTGAGGATGACACCGAAGATGCAAGGGGGCAATGTGTGAATGTAGCACCCCATGATGGTTGCCCACATATCTGGCACCGCAGATTTGCTCATCTGAATTGGAGTTATGTCAAAAAGGCACCTGAACTGACAGAAAGGTGCAAATTTAAGGCTTGTGACAAATTCTTGGATTGTCATGCTTGTAAACAGTCCAAGATTGTGACATGCTCTTATCCTAAGTCAGAGAGAAAGAGCACTCAATCTTTTGAGTTAATTCATGCAGATTTGTGTGGTCCAATGTCAGTTGAGTCATTGGGTGGGTCAAAATTCTCTCTTCTCTTAATTGATGATTTTTCTCGGAATTCGTGGACTTTTGCTATGCGTACTAAAGGGAGGCGACTGGGTTGATCAGGGATTGGATCACTGCAGTTGAAGTGACCTTCTCCACCAAAGTTAAGAACATCCAAAGTGACAGGGGTTCAGAGTTCACTGGTTCTGCTTTGCAGGATTTCTTTAGGAAGAAGGGGATTAGCCACCGATTGACCGCCCCCTACAGTCCACAGCAGAATGGAATTGCGGAAAGGAAGAATAGGACGATTCAGGAAGCAGTGTCGTCCATTTTATGGGATGCAGGGCTACCCCAAAAGTTTTGGTCTGAAGCCTGGAGATTTGTGGTGTTTACGCAGAACAGAGTGTACAACTCAAGTGTAGGGAACACACCCTATTTCCTGCTGCATGGTAAGAAGCCCAAGATGCACTACCTTCGTGTGTTTGTTTGTGAGGCCTGGGTTCTTATTCCAAAGGCTCTACGCAAGAAAGGTGAGCCAAGATCCAAGAAAATGATCTTTGTGGGGTATGAGCCTGGCTCAAAGGCCTGGCGGTTCGCGTACCCAAGTGGAAACCAGTCAAGGTTGGTGATCAGCAATAGTGCTGAGTTCTGTGAACAGGCTGGGTGGTCACGTCTTCATGCTAATCCAGACGCGCTTTTGCAGCAGTTCTATGACTCAGACGGTGAGGAGGAAGAGGAACTTGTTGCTGGGGACCGAAGTCCAGAGCAACGGGGTCCACCACAGGAACAGAGTCCAAGGCAGGGACAGCTCAGGATCCCTCAGAGGGGGGAACCTAGAACACCTCCTCCAGCAACTGTCAAGTCTGAGGCAAAGAGTGAGCCTTCCTCACCTGCTGGACCAGCTGTAAGGCCCAAAAGGCGCAGCAGGTCAGAGGGGGAAGACACTGAAGTTGAGGATGATTTAGTAGGACCCAGTGAGTCAGGAGGAACACCAGGGTTCACACTGAGGAGGTCAGCGAGGTCAACCAAGGGGAAGCCTCCTGATCGTTTTGAAGCTACAGGTGTCTGGGTGGGTGTAGCCAGGTGTGAACCTGAATCCTTCGAGGATATTCAGAATTTGCCTCAGGAAGAAGCCAGCAAGTGGCATGAGGCAATGTACAAGGAGATGAGATCCATGGAAAATCTAGGTGTGTTCTCGCTCACAGAGTTGCCACCGGGCAAACAAGCTGTGAGTTGCAGATGGGTTTATCGCCTTAAACCCACTGACGCTGGAGAACCACAGTATAAAGCTAGATTAGTGGCTCGTGGATTCACTCAAAGGAAGGGAATTCACTTCACGGAGGTGTATTTGCCCACCTCAAGATGTGAGACGCTTAGGAAGCTTCTATCCGTCGCGGCACAGAGAGGTTGGCGGGTAAACCACTTTGATGTGGATGTTGCCTACCTGAACTCAGATCTCCAGGAGGAGCTGTACATGCTTCCTCCTCCAGGGTTTGAGATCATGAGGCAAGGCATTGTGTGGCGATTGCACAAATCCATCTATGGGTTACGTCAATCTGCCAGAAACTGGAATATGTGCCTGAATGAAGCCTTGGAAGAGCTAGGTTTCAGAAGAAGTGTTGCTGACAGTTGCCTTTATCTGAAAGGATCAGGTGCAACACAGGAATTTGTGCAGATTTTTGTAGCTGATTTGCTGTACTTCTCAGAGACAGGTAAAGAGGCAGAAAAGTTTGCTAGGGAGCTTGGTAAACGGTTCAAGCTCAAGCAGCTTGGAGCTGTCAAGACGTATCTAGGCGTATATATTGTCAGGGCACAAGATGGAAGTTTCTTGCTCAGCCAGAAAGGCAAAATTGAGCAACTGCATCAGAAATTCAGGATGAATGATTGTGCAGGAGTAAGAAGTCCTATGGAGACTAGTTTTGTAAAGGACAGTCAGCAAGTAGAACGTGCTGCGTTCGAAAATGCTGAAGTCTTTCAGTCAGCTCTAGGAAGTTTGCTGTATTTGTCCCAGTGGAACAGACCAGATATAGCATTTGCTGTCAATCTGCTCAGCAGGGAGGCTTCAAATCCTTCTCGAATAGAGAAGCTGTCTGGACTTGATTTAATGTCTTTCTCACACGGACCAAAGCTGTGCATCTGCTAATTGCTTTCTCCCGGGGCTGCGCTTGAAAAGCTGGCGCAATGGAAGCGTAAGCTGGACGGAAAAGCGATAAATCTTCAGTTCGGGCCCAACATGCTTTATAGAAATGTTGATTACCATGTTGAAAAGTGTGTGCTTTTTCCAGCTATTTACATACCACTTAATTATCAAGATGTGGGACTGAGAAGTTATCTGCACATATGCACTGCCCATGCTCACGTAGCAGGGAGGTCACTGTTAGCACTCCATTCTCTGTTGAGATGCATGGATGCCAACATCCAGGTTTCTGTGATATGGCGGACAGACCGTGGAAAATACTAATTTACTCTCAGAGGCTGTGAGACAATTTAAAGTGGTGAATGTACAAACCACCGAGGTGGGAAGGGCTGAGGTGGTAGGTTCGAGGAAAATGCAAGGGAAAGTAAGGGTGGTTCATAACAAAAATGGCACCTTGTGTGAATGGATTTGGGAGGATTTGACTGTGATGGAGACAAAACAGGAAGGGAGGGCAAAAGGTATGAGAGGCTACTATATGTGCTGGCAATGTAAAGTTATTAAGAAGACCTGGGAAGTGACATAGAAAGATTTGAAGAGAATGTGGAAAATGTTTTTTGTTAAAAAAACAGACGCTATGATTTTGGAAGGCACAGGACTTAATGGATTTATTGAGCAAAAGACTCTGTTCCTGCATTGGAGAGTGGACGCCAGGCCAAGACCAACCCATCCCTATACTGTGGTTCCTCTAGTTAGGAACTTAATTTGTTCCAGAGGTCCGTTCTTAACCTGAAACTGTTCTTAACTAGAGGCGTGCTTTCGCTAATGGGGCCTCTGTGCCGCCAGCACACGATTTCCGTTCTCATCCTTGGGCAAAGTTCTCACCTCGAGGTAACTCTGCCAGATTAGCAGAGTTTGTAACATGAAGCGTTTGTAACCTGAGGCGTTTGTAACTCCAGGTACCACTGCAGGAGGAAGAAGCCACCACCAAAGAAAATAAAGAATATTGGCAAAATAAATTAATGAACTATGCAGGCCATATTAGATAATTTGAAACCCAAGAAAGACAGGGGTAATGTTTAATGCATGCTTTGTAAGCTTTGTGTATAGGTTTCTACCTTAATTGAACTTCTAAAAGTCACTTGTAATAAGATGAATAAGGTTTTAAAATGGGATTAAGAATATAAGATTTTATGGACATGCATGAATCTGTATAAAAAAATGGAACCAGGAGGGGGAGTGGAGGGAAGTCAATCAAGTTTTATGGTTTAAATTTTTGATTGTGATGATTTTTTTTTTTTTTGGTTATCATAAAATTAATACATGGTTGCCGACAACTAAGCCATGAATGTGTAGCATTTGGAGAGAAATTCTGTGTGGCATCTTCTCAGGGTTGTTTGCACTGTAATCTTCTTCTGCACAAAGGAGGTTTGGTAAAACCCTTAATTGCTCCTTTTTTAAAACAAGGGGTCCCAGTACCCAAAAAACAGGGTCTTGTTCCTTTGATGCAAGTGACCTTTTCCCTCTTAACAAGAAGACTGGGCAGAGATGGCAGAGGCTGCAGAAAGGAGGGTGGGAAGCAGCCCTGGCAGAAAAGGCTCCTTGCTCTCTGCAGCAACTTTCCCCCACTTGGTTAAGGTCTCCCTTCAGGAAGGCATTTGATGTATCAGCTAGACTGGGGTAGTCAACCTTTTCATACCTCCCGCCCACCAATACATCTTTCTTGATGGTAAAATTTCCTTACCGCCCACCAGTGCTGGATGGAAGGAGGATTCAGCTTGTGCGTAGAATCCCCTGCCGCCCACCTAGAATCCTGAAACACCCCCTAGTGGGCGGTAGGGACCAGGTTGACAACCCCTGAGCTAGACTTTGAAGCATGTCCTCATGACTGTCTCGTAATACAACTGGTGCTGTGTCATACACAATCCTCTCCTGGGTAGGGCGTATCCTGGCTCCTGCAAGAGGGCAGAAGGCAGGGGAGCTGCATTTCCCAACTTTTCTTTCTCCTCAATTTTTGGATTTCTTTTTTTTAAAAGAAAGATGTTCCTATCCATGGACCCAAGTTCCAGACCTACATTCCTGCATTCCTATGACTCAGTAGGCAATGATGTTTCTTCTTTTATTCCTCTGCATTTCAGGCGAGAGCTCCATCCTTTTGGAGTCCAAGTCAGCATTGTTGAACCTGGTGGTTTCCAAACAAACATTTTCACACAAGCAGTAGAGAATTTAAAGAAAGTATGGAACCGAGCGCCGTCTGACATCAAAGAAGTCTATGGGGAACAGTACTTGGAGAACTGTGAGTAGACGCGGAGGGATTTCAGCATGGTTTGCATTTTCCTGCAAACATACCCAATTCACACTTCATGAAGCAATATATTAACCAATACATAGCTCTGCTTAGGAATTCAAACTCCTCTAAATTTAGCAACAAGTTCTCCAGACCAACTATGTGTACAAAGACAACTATGAACAACTATGTGTGCAGAACAACTATGTGTACATAATATACCAAAATGCACTAAGCAAATTGATCACAATAAAAAAATTCACCATGCAAGGAAATAATGTTTGCCAAAATTTGCATACAGTGGTACCTCAGTTTAAGTACAGACCGGTTTAAGAATCATTTGGTTTACAAATTTCACAAAACCGGAAATAGTGTCTTGGTTTGAGAACTTTACCTCGGTCTAAGAACGGAATCCGAATGGTGGAAGGGCACCGGTGTTGGGAAGCCTCATTAGGGAAAGCACGCCTCGGTTTAAGAACGGTTTGGGTTTAAGAACAGGATTCCGGAACGGATTAAGTTTTTAAACCGAGGTACCACTGTATTGTGAAAACTGAAATGCTGATGACTTTCAAAAGTCATAAACTGAAATGAGGAGAACCAAACTGAAAGATTTTGGAGATATTGAAACTGAGAGAAACCTAAATGGACAGGTTCATCCATTGTAGATTTAAATCTTTTGAGAATGTGTTCTGTTTGAAGCCTCCAAAATAGTTCCAGATGCATCTGCTTTGATTTAGTTCTTCTAGGCAGAGGTATCTAGAAGCTAACCAGTCCATTCAGCTCCCAAAAGATTTAGGTTACCCCTACATTTACAGCACTAACTTCTGTTTTGTTTCATATTTCTCACACACAGATTACCAAATTTGCCAATATACCGTTAACATTGCCAGCAGCAAGCTTCACCCGGTCACTGACTGTATGGAACATGCCCTGACATCCTGCTCCCCTCGCACTCGCTACTCTGCAGGATGGGATGCAAAGTTCTTGTACATTCCTGCCTCTTACTTTCCAACGTCCATCGTTGACTTCGTGGTGAGCTGCATTCAGCCCAAACCTGCTCAAGCTGTATAGATTGCTTTGAAGAAACCCTTTACAGTTGTCCAAATGAGCCAACAATCTGTGGATGCTTGTTTATGCAAAATAGAAAATGCAAGAAACAAACTTTTGCAAGCAGAATGAATTGCTTTGAAGAAAAAGCTTTACAGTTATATTTCCAGGGGAAGCCAGGAGATGGTGTTCCTGTTTTCAGTTTAGCTTATACTGTATTTCTATATATGGTGGCTGAGATAAGGGATGCAGCTGCCGGCATGGGAAAGAAGGAAGTGTCCTTGCTCTGAACCAGCTGCAGAGATAAGGAGGAATATGAGTGGAAGGCTACCTTGAACTCATGCTCTGACTTCAAAGTGTTAAATCGAAGGAGGTGCCCTTAGAAGTGGATGGGAAAAAGGACGAGAGCATAAAGCACTTGCTACAGAAACGGTGGAAAGCTGCTCCAGGACGCTATAAAAGGCCCCAACTGCAGCAATCAATTGGGATTCCAGTTTGGACTGACCGGGTAAAGTGCCAAGCATATTTTGGCCTGAGAAAGAGGGGTGCCATCACCGGTTTCTGGAATGTCTCCGTCAAAAATGACGGATAGCTGAGCCAGCTTCATAACTTTCTCTTTGAGTATTCTTTCATATACAGTTGTACCTTGGAAGTCGAACGGAATCCGTTCAGGAAGTCCGTTCGACTTCCAAAACGTTCAGAAACCAATTGGAAGCCGCACCGGACGTTTGAAAATCATTCCAGTTTTTGATTGTTCAGGAGCCGAAATGTACAAGTTCCAAAGCGTTTGGCAACCAAGGTACGACTGTACTTTAATTGTATATTAGCACCTGTTGCTGTTTCTTTGCTTATTGTGATAGTTGTTAATAAAGCTTGCATCTACTGCCTAAAAGTTTGAGATCCAAAGAACTCGCTGCTGCCTCAGGATTACCAGGGCTGGGTGATTGTTGGGGAGGCATAACCATTGGGCATTACAGTTGCCAAATGAGCCAACAAGCTGTGGATGGAATACAAGTCTAATTGCATCTTTTAGGATCCTAATGAGAGGCAGATTGGGTCATCAGTACCTTAAGGAGAAGTGATTTATTATTATTATTCTGAACTATTCTCTGATACAGCTGAAACTGCAATGCTTTACCACTCATTTACCCAGGAAAAAATACATGGGACTTCAGACTAAATTGTTGTTGTTTAGTCGTTTAGTCGACTCTTCGTGACCTCATAGACCAGAGCATGCCAGGCACTCCTGTCTTCCACTGCTGGTACCCCAGGGGCCATGGAGTCCAACCCCCTGCAATGCAGGAATCTCAGCTAAAGCATCCATGACAGATGTCCATCCAACCTCTGCTTAACAATCTCCAAGGAAGGAGAGTCCACAACCTCCCAAGGGAGACTCTTCCACTGTGAACTTGGGGGTGGGTGCTAAAATCACACAAACCTGAGCTACATACACTTCCCAAGTAAAGTGGGAAGACATCTCAAAAACCTCCATCTCAAAAATACGAATCATCACAGAATGTTTACAGTTCCAGCTTGTCAATACCGTACTCCAGGTGTGGTCTACAGGTGTGCCCAGCCCAGGCGGCGCTTACTTTTACGGGCAGCATGCCTGAGCCCAAAGTGATGTCAAAGCCCAGATGCGCTGCACCCCCCTAGCTACGTTCCTGGGCTGGGTCTCCAGAGGCTGTCGCTGGTGCTCCCTTTGACCTGATGGAGTCAAGCTGCTGGGGGCGGGGGGGGGGGCTTGGGGTGTTTTCCATAAGGGAATAAAGTTTGCAAGGAAAGTGGTCGAGGCACCCGAAGTTCCCCTCCTGCTGTGGCTCCGAGCTCCCTGGGAGGAACCGCAGCAGGGAAACTTCTTTCCAGGAGGAGAAGTGCTCCTCTCCGACCCAACGCGTGGCAGTGCCAAAGTGAGCCTTGTGTATCCTGGGATCGCAGGAGCGATGGCAGTGGGAGGGCGGGGTGAGAGGAGCTGGATCAAAAGGGAGAGAGAAGCGGAACGAGGCTTGTTGCGCTAGGAAGGCGAACTAAACGGATCAATGGGTTCCTCCTGCAAAGCGGGCACTTGCTCCGTGGGGTGGTAACGCTCGGCTTGTGCTGAGGCACACCTTGCACCCGGCATGCAACAGTGTGCCAAGGAGCCTTGTGCTCACACTCCCTGAACTCTTGCCTCTTGGCTAGAAAACAGGGTTCCCGCCTGACAGTTTGTCCTCTCACAGATTTGGTTACTAGACATAACGCTTGGCTGGAGCATGACCGTGGACACAGATGTAATCAAGTATCGGGGAAAACATTTTAGGGAAACACCTGCTAACACGTGTATTTGATAACGCTGGAAATGTGCTTAGATGGAAATACGTCATGTTCAAAGTGGTTTCACTACTGTTTCCAATTGTTGACTGCTGCTAATAAAAGGAGCCTCTGCAGAACTAGCCGGCAGCTGTTTTGGAGCTTGCTTGCCAGCTTGCTCCTGCCCAGCTCACCTGCATTCAACCTCCCGTCGTCCTCGGTATTCCTACACTCCCAAAGTGCTGGTGGTGGTGGGGAGATCGTTGTCTTCCAACTCCTGGTTCCTCCTTTGTCAAAGAGCAGAAGGAACACCACGTTAAAAAAAAGAGTCCCAGGAGGGTGCCTTATTGAGGCACCGGGGTGTGTGGGGGTGTGTGGGTAAAAAAGCAGTGCTCCTAAGGGGTGCAAAATTTCCCTCCTTTGCCCCCAATGCTTTGGCTGTGGTCTCCTGGGTTTTTGCCCAGGACTCCTTTACACCTACCTTGCCTGTCAAGTGTCACGTCGTTTGCACCTGTGTCTCTTCCGTTTGCACCCCTTACCCATGTACCCGTATGTAACCCAGCCAAGTGGCAGTCACTTGTAGGCAGGCTTCTTCCTTTCTCTTTGGTTGGAGGAACCCAGTTGCAACTATCTCGCTTTGTGTCTTTGGCTTCCGATTTGAAGGAATGGGTTTTCCAGATCTAAAATCTGACTGTGCAGTCAGTCTGAAACGGGCCGCAAAATCCCCATTTTTCCTTCTCCAAGGGTAAAAACCATTAACTTGAGCCCTTGAGCAAATGTATAACAGGAACCCAGCTGTACAAACAAAGGTCTCTTTGTCGCCTAATGAATGGCCTTGTCAGTTCCAAAGTGGAGCAGGGATGGCATATCTGGGTCTTATCTTACATCCTGACCACACTGACGCACAGACCTTGTCAGGTCTGACAAAAGACCAGGAACAGCGCCAGGAGTGTTCTTAGAGTTGGTGACCTTCTTGCCCCAAGATAAGAGTATAGGAACAGGAACAGGAACATCTGTTTATGGTCATGGATGTCAACTTACGTGTATAAGCTGACGTGGCTGGATTCCTGGGGAAGGGGAGAGAGGGTGCCTGGAGGATATATATACTGTATGCAATTTCTCTTGCTTTTGTGCTTGCGGTGAACCGATTCATGCAGTACCTTCTGCTATCTGGAGAGCAGAATAAACTCTTTCTCTGAATCAACCTCGGTGTCATTTGACTTCCTTTCTCCCTCCCAGGAGCAACGCAGACCCCACCAGTCGGTAAAGTCTAATAACGCTACAGATTCCCGGAGCCCAGCAAAATGGTTCTTTTCCTTTCCTAAAAATGACCTGCCTTGTCCCCGCTAACAAGTGGAATGGGCAGAGGTACCAGAGGTTACAGATAAAAATGAAGTGGGGTTCCCTCCAGCCTTTTGTCCCTCTCTTCAGCGAGGTATTTAGAGAACCAGCAGTTTATCAATGTGTGGTCTTTCCTTTTCACACCCACACACCCGCTGCTCCCTTCAACATGAATCTTCTGGTTATACATCCCCCATCCTTGAAACGTACCTAGATTTGTACTAAGCAAGAAAGAACAGTGATCTTCATCACGCCTTTCAGTTCTGAATGGTTTCAGCACTCCAAGTTATTGACATCCACACTATGTAAACAATAAGCAAACTAACAAAAATAATATTTCATTATCTTATTTCTAATATGCAGGTTGCAAATCATTCCACCCGCTCTTTCTGCACACCAGCAGCAGAAAGGAAACCTACGGGACCACCTCTCCTGGTATGCCCCGCGGAGGACCTTAAGGTTCATATATAGCAATACCCTAGAGGTCCCGGGCCCTAAGGAAGTCAGATTAGCCTCAGCCAGGGCCAGGGCCTTTTCCACACTGGCTCCGGCCTGGTGGAACGCTCTGTCTCATGAGACCAGGGCCCTGCGGGATCTGATTTCTTTCCGCAGGGCCTGTAAGACAGAGTTGTTCTGCCTGGCCGTTGGCTTGGAATCAGCCTGACCCCTCCCCCTCTTTCCTTTTCCTTCTGTGATGGAACTCCTATTTGGGGACTTCCCTGACTTTATTCTGGCCCACGTAGGACCAATCTGGATAGTTGGCCTTGGTGAAGATTTGATGTTTTCTCCCCAAAACAGTTTTTGATCTGGGCTTCCACTGAAATGAGGCTGCATTTTAAGTTGTACTTGAATCCTATTTTTAAGTTGTATTTTAATCAATTGTTTTTATACCTGATGTTAGCCGCCTAGAGCCCGGTCTTGGTCGGGAGGAGTGGATAGTATATATATATATATCTATATATATCTATATATATCTATATATATATAAAAGTCATTTGTGGAGTCTTTCTCTATATATGTACTAGAATTCAAGCACCAAAGCAAGCTGGCCAGGTCCAGCCTCACCCTTCCTACTCTAGGTGAAATGTAATTTTGCAAGCACTCTGCCCATCTTTCTATCAGCAGGAGGGATGTGCTTCCGTAAGAAAGATACGCTCAACCCCAGGCTTTCTTCCTGCTCTAGAAAAAAGATTTATTTGCTCTATCCATACATGAACAGAACACAGGGGAAAGGGGCTGAATCTGTGGCACGGAGCTCTGCAGTGGGAGGGATTTGGTATGTTTCCCTCACCAACAGATTTCACAATTAGTTTAAAGAAGGCGGTTAAGTTTCGCCAATCCTTGCCAGAAGGGAGGAGCTCCCTGTGCAGCCAGCGGAGTATGAAAAACAGCAA